AGTAGGTTAGGCAAGGAGACCATGGGGGCACAGGGGGGCAGTTGGTGTCACTGGGTCAACATTTACTGAGTGCCCAGTGTGTGCTAATCACCTAATATGCTATATACATTACTTATGTTGTTTATTCTCTTTCTCTCATTCCCTTCTAGGGCATAAACTCTGTGAAGGCAGGGATTTTAAAAACAGCTTTGTTGAGATACACTTTATATAGCATAAAGTTAACTTAGTTAAAGTGTACAATCAGTGACTTAGTATATTTACGGAGTTGTGCAATCATCACCATAATCTAATTTTAGAACATTTTCGTCAACCCAAAAAGAACCCCCCTGCCCATTAGCTGTCTTGCCCCACTCCGGAGGGATAACAGGGATTTTGTCAGTTTTGATGCAGAATTTTGAACCGTTGAACCTCAGCCCAGCACAATGCCTGTCATACAGTAAGAGCTGAGCAATAGTCCTGCCTCCAGGGAGTATATGCTCTAAAAGGTGGGGACAATGAACCAAATAAATAAGCAAATTATGAGGTCTGTTAGCCATTATCTAAAATTCAGTCTTTATTACTTATTCAACTTGCTGCTACTGGGAACCTACTGTGTGGCAAGGTGGGAGAAAATAGATAACAAACCCTGCCCCTCAAGAATGTGACCATCTAGTCAGGAAGACAGAAAACAAGATATTTCAGCAACAGGTGATAAGCATGCAGAAGGTGCTTGGTTAATGTTAGCATTTTTGTTATGATTCAATTTTCATTCATTACTTCCAGAAGCTCCCAGCATACCAGGTATTGTGATGGAAGGGGATGGGGGGGAGGTGTAGTGGGGGATTTGGCAGAGAACAAAATAAAGTCTCTGTCCTTGGGAGGATTAGATTCTAAAAGTGAGAAAGAGACAATAAACAAGATAAGCAAGTAAATTACCAAGCAATTAGAAGAGGCTGGGCACACAGCAGGCGCTCAATGAAATGAGTGTTATCTATTAATAGCGAATCACTGCTAAGTTACCTCATTCAATACACAACCTGATTTTAGTTCAATGTGTGGCCTCAGGAAATGCATTTTAATGGCTGATACAACTCTTCCAGGAAACCCGGGAGCAATGGCATTTTGGGGATAGATGGGGGGTTTCAGGTGTCCGCAGGGGTTTCCGTTGAGTTTCAAAGCTGGAGGTCAGAATGGGGAAGCAAGATCCGGCTGTGTGGTCCTCAGCCCAGAGAGATCCCTGAAAAGTTATTGGATGTGCTCGCCCAGAAAGAGTGCCATGATGAGGAAAGAGTTAAACAGGACAGAGTCCTGGGGTCCCCAAAGTTGAGGAGACAAAAAGAGGGAGATTTAGTTGTGAGGATAAACTGAGAGGAGGGGGTGAGGGAGGAAGCAGTGAGGAGGCCACTGCAGTAGTTCTGGCAGGCAATGGTGGTGGATGTGGAAAGGAGAGGTGGGATTCTGGTATATTCTGAAGGTGGAATTAACTGGCAGGATTTGCTGAGATTAAGAGGCAGGGGAGGGGGGTCAAGAATGACTCCTCAATTTTGGGCTTGTGCAGATGGAAATCTGAGGGTGCCATTATTTGAGGGTGGGGACATGTGAGATGGGCTCTTCCCTCTTGGCAAGTCGCCATGACTGTGACTATGATACTAAAAGCACTAGGTATTATTTACTGAGAACCTAGCTCGTGCCAGGTGACCCACCTGCCAAGCCTACACTGAGTCCTCCTGACACTGTGATGAGGTGTGGGCTACCATCCCCGGGGCCACTTTATCAATGAGGAACAGCAAAGGATGGATGTTCAGAGAAGTGAGGGGATGGTGACAAGCCTGAAGTCCCACAGTCCATTAGAAATCAACAGAAGAGAGGTCTCAACCTTCACAAGTAATACAGAACCACTTGCTGTGCCAAGTGCTATTGGAGTGTCATTATGGGGTTCTTAAGACCCTGAGGTCC